AAAAAATATGATTTGTCATAAAATTAAAATTTTCCAAAAAGAAATTTGGTCAACTTAAAACTATGTGTATATGCTGTACCATGTATAGACTCTGTACTTGGCCAGACTTCATTTTGCTCTAAGTACTGAATCAGCTTATGATGGCTTGGAAGAAATTAACCGGTGACTCTAAGATGTTGAGAAGTTTGTCTTCCTCAAAACCAAGCTCTATGAGGTGCCCTATAATGTTATTGTACACAACGATGCTGACTTTGGCTTTGACAAATTGCATTGAACCAGATAGTGACAGCCTGACACTTCTGATTTTGCAGAAATGTTGCACGCCAGCACCTAGCGTACTGGCTTTGAGTTTCAATTTGTAGTTTATATGTCAGCAAGATAGCAGGTTAAAAATTATGTGTGTTTTGGGGGGTTCATTTCATACAATTATAGATCACTGATTATCTCCAGAAGGAAACGGATGACGGCAGACCTTTGACGGGGATTGATGTGCTGAAAATGTAGCAAATTATTTTTAGAGAAACCTTTTCATCTAAAATTATAATTCCAAGAAGCCACAAGTGTAATCTCTAGCTTTCTCTATTTGATGTTGAATTATCTTTGGTATATGAGACCACTTTTATCTACAAACTGCTGTCAGGTGAGTGCTTGCATCTTTTTTTAAAGTTCCCTATAAATAGTATTCACAGTCTAACCAAGGACAGAATGTCTAATTTTCTTTTAACAAGTTATCTTCAGGTCTTAGTCTTGGTTGTTTGGTAAGGCTTTCTCTTTCCTGGAGGTAAGAAATATGTAGCAATATAGTTTTTAATGTTTTGCATCGGTTCAAAATCCTTCAGTGTTTTTTTTTTTTATACCATATTGATGAGTCATCACTTTTTAATGGTTATATTAAAATAATGCTGTATTGTACAGTTAAGAAAAGCTTATTGTTCTCTACATGCTGAGGGTGAACATGATGAACGTGGTGAGATTTCTGCAGGCGCAGATCCACCATGCTGACCATCCAGGGAACTGCTTTTACCTTAGTGTAAATGTGCGTGTTTCCATTTACCTGTAACTTTCTGCTGGTACACTTGAGTTTCTCCACAGTGGGACAATAAAAGATATTTCTATTCTATTCTATTATATTTGGTAATTAGTCACGCTTCTCCTGAATTGACCTTTAATGCCCCCTTCTTTGTGAACATGGTGAATCTTTTTTATGTATTTACTACCTCGTTGGAAGAGTGAGTAAATGGATCGAGAAAAAGTGCTGGTCTGTGTTTTGTGGCGCGTCGAAAGCAATAGTATTTTATTGTTTTCTGTCAAATTTGCGGCGGCGTTTCTGAAGCAGAAACGAGGGATTTATGCCGTCACAGCTTCTCAGCAGAAATTAGTTACAACCATGTGACAACCGGATGACTCTCTCAGGTAAATCTTTGTCCAAAAGTTCGTCATTGGATGCCACACTTGGGATGGGAGCAGGTGGTTAGACGGGAGGGCTGTATTTCATTTTAGACA